TCTCATCACCGTTATCTTTCTTTCCCAAACTTCCGGCAGGGGTGACCCCTTGTTCTGGTGAGAGTTCCGCGTCAGCTAGGTCTGTCCTAGCCGTTAGACAAAGTCCTATTATAGAAGCTCGAGCCAGAAGTCGATGATCACAAGCATATAGCTCAGTCCTTTTGCTGCGGAATGGCAAAGAAAGCTTGTGTGGGGCAGTCGAAATTGAATGCACGATGACGCCGAGTCAAATGAGCGAGCTTCTGATGACAGTACTTTCGTGACGGTGCTGGATGATGGGAGAGGAAACCGGTGGGAAGTGGTTGACGAGAGGAATCTCACCGTGTACTCTATGCACCCCCATCACAACCACGTGACGAAGGCAGCACAATCGTGGTTCCCACAAAACTACAAAATAATACATCAGATGAAGCGGAAATGTCTGTGAATTCAGTAAACTGTACACGTACAAAGTGCTGCGGATTTTGCCTGCCTATCGTGCAATTGGGATAGAAGGGCAGACTTTTGGAGCAGCGACAATTCCCCCATGGGGAGTAGCCTTATTGCGCATGGAATGTCGACACCCAAAAATAGCTAGATTCCATATTTCATGGGTGGGGGGTTCGTGGTAGACGATCTTCTGCCACTCTAAATAATGACTAGAACTGAAAACTGATTGATGGCTGGTTAGCTACAGGGAGGCGCTCATTCCTACTGACGATCGATTACCTGGTCAAGTAACTCGATACTCCGAACGGGGCAAAAGGTGATCGCTGATCAAGAGACTGAAAGAAAAATCTCCGCACTCAAAGCAGCAAGTCTATTCGAGAGGCTTTTATTTTTAATCTCAATGGACCATCAAAGGTTCTGCATCTCATCATCTAGCTCTAGACTTCGTGTTCAGAGGATGGTTGCATACGATAGGATGCCATTCCAAGCTTGAGGCACACACCGCGCTTATCACGGTTCTGTCTAATCGCTACCGTAATCACTTTCATCATCGTAGTAGTCACCGTACTGCCCTGCAAACGCAGCATCGACCCCATCGGCGTCCTCCTCATAATCATCCTCTTCGTCGTCGTCGTAGTCCTCCTCCACTCCGTCCGGAATCTTGCTTTCCGACTCAGGCGCTGGTCCGTGCACCTCCTCATTGGTATGTGCGCGGTCAATTTTGCCAACCTGCACTCCCGGCTGAAGGGGTTTCTCGCCCGGAAATTGCGCGGGCCTCGTAGGGGGAGCGGGAGAGGCGACAGGCTTGGCAGTCGCCAGAGAAATCGCCCGCGGTTCCACACTGGCGCTCCGTCGTGAAGCCACACTCTGGCTTCGACTCCGGCTCCTGCTCATACTCTCCGCCTTGGCCTTGGCAGCCTCGTCGGCTCCTTCATCGCCGAATAATGACTCCAGAAGGCGATAGTTGATCTTCTTACTAAACCCTCTGCGTTCGAGCATGCGACGAGTTGCTTCGGCGGGGGTGGATGCCCGGGTGCTTCTGCCATCCGCATCCTCCCCGTCCCCTTCAAGGTAGGTGACGTCTCCTAGCCTACCCCTTCGGCGTTTACGAGGCTTACGCATTCCTGGCTGGGAGTCTGCCTCCGCCAGGGCTCGTTTCAAGGCCTTGGCTTGTTGTGTCCGCAAGTAGTCCTTGTTCTCGTGCACCCAAATTCGTTCTTTGATTTCGACTTCGGCTGGAGATAGAAGACAGTTGGCGACCTCAGGATCATCTTCGAATTCGGAGGCGTCAATTTCTGCTCGGTCAGAAACTTTTTTCTCTTCCTCCTGGCCCGGAGCCACACTCTCAATCATGTTAGAGCCTTTCGATAGGAGAGCCGTCATCTCATTTTCAAGAGCTTCCTCCGATGCAATCTGATCAGGGGTCGGCGGCGGCAGCGGCAGCTTTGTTCGTTTGGGCGCCGCGGGGCGTGCGGATTTTGCTATTGCCGCTTCTTCTCCAACTTCCGATACAACCTCGTTCAGCACAGAGGTTAGGGACGCTCGCCGCCGGCCACTGTCCGCCGTGGTCAGCGCCGGGTCAACGGGGATGCTAGGAATAGCGAAGCCATCAGCATCAAGACGCCTTGGCTCGGCAGGAGTCGCGTCCTGCATGTCTCCCTCGATCTCAGCCGCGATGTCCGAGGCCTTTCTTTTTATGCTTCGTGATGGCTTTCTTCCCTCCCTGGCTCTGGTAAAAGAAGGGGGATCATGTGCATTCTCCAGTTGCACGGAGCGAAACTGATCGACAGTAAGCTCAGCGCTCTCCGTTGAGCTAAATTCATTCAAACGCTGGTTAATGGTGATCTCGGTGACTTTCACCACGTAAACGACCTCACGAACGGTTCGACGAAAATTGTTCATTCGAGCCGCAAGGATCAAAGCAGCGCCACAAATACCGGCCGGACGTCGACCGGTAGTCATCCAATCACGGTTCATTCGCTGAACAATGCGGACTGCCTCGCTGGCAACTTGCATCGTCGCAGTTCCAAATTCGAGTTGCTTGGCGAACCGATAGATCAAACTCTCCGGATCAATTGGGTTCATCAAAAAGACGTTACCGCCAAGACGTAGTTCATCTAGTAGGGCCTTGTAGGTTCGACCGAGTTTGAATACGTTGACCTGAACAAAATTAGCGATGCACGGACACAGGGTTTAATTGCAGTAGATCACTTACCATCAGTACATCAGCAAAATCAATAAGCATGACAGTGTTCCCATCTTGCCGTCGACACGCGATATACAGACATACAGCTGCAACCGTCTTTGTCCGACGACCTTGGATGAAGTTTAACCCGACAGCAAGTTTGAAAACTTGACCAGCAGCTTTCATGGCACTCTCCGGGATGTTCAGAGCACGACTTAGTTGGTTTATATAACGAGTTCCTTGCCAAAGTCAGCACAAGCTAGTCGAAAAATGAGGGGACAAGGAATACCATACCGTTTTGTTCTGTAATTTCTCGACTTTCCATAGCACCTCCTCGTTGAAAGCCCGGTCCATAGCTGCGGACATGGGTTTGGTCTTCACCGACGAACGTTCCTTGAACGACCGCTGCACCCGATGATGTTTCACCGAAAGTGACTTCGGAGACAATATTTGCCTCACTAATGACTGTACCACAACCCGAGCAAACCTTCTGACCATCATCCTCCACAATATGAGGAGCTGGACATCCAGGATTGGGACATGTAGTGGTCTTAGGATGGGTAGTAGGCCTGGCGGCCTGGGGGCGTGCGATTGGTTGAGGCCGTTTAATCGAAGTCGGAGTAGGAGTCTTGAGACTCGCCAAACGGCCTACCGGCGGAGCTCTCGGACCACTCCTAGGGGTCATGGAGGGACGCATGTTAGGTCTAAAGGCAGACATCATGCACAACGTGGTGTACTCGGAGGAGATGCTGGGTTGGAATTTGACAAGATAACCTTAGGCCGGAGGGTGTACCTCATATAGGATGGCGGTTGAGCATAACGGACAAGGGTTTACGAAGCAGCAAACAACGTGCTATAGATCAGTCCTTGACAGTAAGAGGACAACAGTTCTGCTCTGAACCTGATATACGGCGTCGTTGAGTGGACCAATCACGAAAAGGAGGGTCGAGTCTCGACTTCCAAAAAGGGAAAAGTAGTGGGCTGGGAGAAGGAAAAATGTCCGGAGAACCTGAAGGACGTCTGACGAGTGAGCACTCCGAGGTGGACCAGAAGAAAGGATAATATGATATGGGATATTTCTGAAATTTATCGGACGAAAAAAGCAACAGCCACCAGTTGTAACCCCCAGTAACAAATGAAGAATACCTTAAGGATGAAGAAGTCTCTCGATGGCGGGTGAAGACGATGAAGAAGGATGATGAGAAGAACACGAGATTTGCTGGGGGGCGACTTTTGCACGCGTCAAAATTTGTCCGGATCAGTCACGGTGGCCCAGTGGGATTATCACGTGAGGTATATGCCTCGGGGAGCGGCGGTTCGAATCTCGGGGCGAGAACATTATATAGCATCAATTGAGGGCAGTTTCAGCAGTCAATTTCAGTTTCATAGATCTGATCATTTCATTTTCAATTGTGGTCGATTACTATGTCTAACCTCCGGATTTCAAGGAGTCTGTACGCTCACTAACAAAGAAGAGATCCATCTCACTTTATAGACTCGGTGTGAAGACTACGGCTTATACTCCGTAGCTTAGTCTATCATCACCGTCGGCTCATTTTCAAAGAGTTGTCGGAATTCATACTATAGGTATCATACAGAGTACAGCAGATCTGATCATTATCAGATTAGCTTGCCCACAAGAAAGTGGTTCCTCCAGATTCAATGGATATTCCGCCCACTCGGTTCTACTCCGTCGGTTCCGCTCCGTCACCAAACATCACAACTGCACGACGTCCACGAGATGGCCTTTCAAGGCCAATGAAAACACCATCACACGTGTTAGGCTGAGACTCGTGCATTCCAGGAATCAAGTACTGGACTGACGTTACCTTGCTTTGTGGTATGCCGCGAATCCGCCGTTGAATCATATGTAGACCTTCCGTCCCGATGCGAGATTTGTGCGTGGTTTAGCGTATCTCGGAGATCCACACTGGAGCTTCAGGATGAACTACGCATAAAAGTCGCATTTTCGCCTCGTCTCGATCGCATTCATCTACGTCGAATTTTACTCTTTTATTAATGATGAAGAAACTGTATTTCAAAAGACTCCTTGACAGTCATTTGTCATCAGTTGTACTTCAAAAAGCATGCGATTCCCTGTTCCCGCTGCTGCACTTCGGTATCATTCACGCCCTTTTCTTTCATACTGCAGACTCTCATCATCCTTGCCAAAACAACCAGTTGTATAAGATCCGTTGAAACTGCAATTGCATAAACAGAAATCTTGACTGACTGGTGCTGCCTTTACCAACTTGCCATTGTCCATCTGGGGCACCTCAGACGTACCCAACCTGGACTATCGCCTTCAGACAGATTTCCTTTCAGCGTGCCTTCAGGACGTCGGAGTTGAGCATACATCTTTCTCCGAATTCTGGCGCCCATAACCATGCCTACGGAAACGAGGACTCTTGCATCTTCGCCCCCTGTAGCGTCGGATGCGCGTTGCCTCACAAGCTTGTTTTTCGTGAGCAATGTGCATTGCTCCTCGTGCGTCGCATACATCACTGAGGTTCTCTCAGAAGAATCAGGGGTGGAAAACATCTCAGTTTCTATCTTGACGCATGAAGTCCGCGTGCTGCACAGCTTAGACTCGAAGCCAGCAGACTTAGCCAGGGCCCTCATTCAAGCGGCCTTCGAAGTCCATCATGTTACCACATACGATCATGACGGCGCGGTAGTATCCGATCTTGATACAACATCAGAATCTGGGTTTTTCTCTGCCCTCCATTCCCCTGCATCCGCCTCAATTCCCGAAAACAGGCTGCATATCGTCAATTGCGATGCTTGCAGGAAAGAAGAACTCGAGCGACATACAGCAGCAGCAGCGGATACGTCAAAAGAAGCTGCTGCGACTCCTTCAACAAATGGCAAAGCCCAAAACCCCGCTCACCAATTTACCGGCGCCCGGGACTCCTCTGACCTTGAAAGTCTTGTTCCTCGAAAGTCTCTAGCAGATGCGAATAGCTCAACCATCGAGAATGACACTCAGCAAATGCCTCCCCAAAGTGATAAAGAGTTCGATGCTCGTATCAGCATTGGTGGGATGAGTTGTGCATCATGCGTCAATACTATTACAAAAGAAGTCCAACAACTCGACTTTGTCCGTGAGGTGACCGTCAATCTTCTCACCAATAGTGCAACGCTGCTCTATACAGGCCCTCAATCAAACATCGACAAGATTGTTGCCCTAATAGAAGACATTGGTTATGAAGCTTCTGTGGACGAAGTCGAGCCGGTCGTTGCAACCACACCTTCGCCTCCAGCTTATCTCGCCGAAATTGCAATTGGTGGAATGACCTGTGGCTCCTGTTCTGCGACCATCACCCGAGGGCTTGAAGAATTGCCCTTTGTGACGGAAGTTTCTGTGAATCTTCTGGCTCACAGTGGCAGAGTTCAGTTTGTGGGACGGGAAAATGTTGATGCCATTTTGGAGAAAATTGATGATCTTGGTTACGAGGCCTGCCTCGAAAACATCCAACCTGTGGTCATGAACAACGAAGAGGATAAGAACCAGAAACGGACGGTCTCAATTCGCGTGGATGGCATGTTTTGCCACCATTGTCCGAAGCGGGTTCTTGACTCTTTGAAGGTGTTTCCCAACGTAGAATGCGAACGAACATTGTCCCTCGACAACAACGTGTTGAAAGTTACATATACGCTTGACCCTCCTTCGTTGACAATCCGGGCCATCATTCAGGTCATTGAGTCAGCGCATGATGCTTTTCAGGCGTCGGTCTTTCATCCTCCCAGTCTCGAAGATCGATCTCGCGCCATGCAGCTGCACGAACGTCGCCGATTGTTGATGCGCTTTACCTTTGTTTTGTTGGTGGCGATCCCAACTTTCTTGATTGGGATTGTCTTCATGAGCCTTGTGTCATCGAACAATAGGGTTAGGAAATATTTAGAGCAGCCGATGTGGGCTGGAAGTGTCTCCCGGATGGAATGGGCCCTCTTCATTATGACCACAGCAGTCATGTTCTATGGCACAGACATTTTCCATGTACGAGCCGTGAAGGAGATCTATTCACTTTGGCGACCAGGAAGCCGCACCCCAATCCTGCGAAGATTCTATCGCTTCGGCAGCATGAATCTTCTGATTTCCGCTGGCACCACGGTGGCATACGTGTCTTCGTTGGCTGTCCTCATCATGGATTCTGCCGCAAATACATCCACCAGCAGCCACAGCACAACATATTTTGACTCCGTGGTGTTTCTGACATTGTTCATCCTCGCGGGTCGATTCATGGAAGCCTACAGCAAGGCGCGGACAGGAGATGCAGTTGCGTCTCTCGGAAAGCTCAGGCCCTCCGAAGCAATATTGGTCGAAAAGTCCACTCCTACCAGTCAGACTGAATTCGGGGAGCCATCCTCGGTTGAGAGTCAACAGCGAATTGCAGTTGATTTGCTGGAAATCGGGGACGTCGTCAGCATCCCTCACGGCGCTTCCCCACCCGCAGATGGTGTCATCATTGGTCAGAATACCTACCAGTTCGACGAGAGTTCCTTGACTGGAGAATCCAAGCCGGTGCAAAAGTCAGCGGGCGACCAAGTCTTCACGGGATCTGTGAATGTTGGCCAGCCTGTGAAAATCAAGATTACTGCCCTTGGCGGCTCCTCCATGTTGGACCAGATCATCAGCGTGGTCCGCGAGGGACAAAGCAGACGAGCTCCTCTGGAAAGGATTGCGGACGTTCTCACATCGCATTTCGTGCCTGTGATCACTCTCATAGCAATCCTCACATTTATCATCTGGCTCTCTCTCGGGCTTTCTGGAGTGTTGCCCCCGGACTACCTTGACACGGCACGGGGTGGCTGGGCTTTTTGGAGCCTAGAGTTTGCAATTGCTGTGTTCGTTGTTGCCTGCCCGTGTGGATTGGCCCTTGCTGCCCCTACAGCTCTCTTCGTGGGCGGTGGGTTGGCTGCCAGACACGGTATCCTCGTCAAAGGTGGAGGAGAGGCGTTTCAAGAAGCGAGCCGCCTCAACGCGATTATCTTCGACAAGACAGGTACTCTTACAGAGGGCGGTAGTCTAAAGGTGTCTGATTATGAGGTCCTTGTTACGGACGCTGAGCAGATTCGAGTCGCCTGGAAGCTTGCTCAGCAGCTGGAGGAAAGCAGCAATCACCCGATCGCTCATGCGGTTTCTGCATTTTGCAAGGGGCGTTCAGAAATCCCCGTGGTAGCCTCCGACATTGAAGAGAAATCCGGAAAAGGCATGACAGGCACCTTCACCGTCTCAATCAACGATCCTGCATCAGACTCCTCGACGACAGTGGTCTATGAAGCCGCGATCGGCAACGAGGCTCTTCTCCAGAGCCTTGCGTCTGCAGTAGACACTTCCCGTCTTTCCGGTCTGCTGAAGGAGTACCAGTCCGCAGGAAAATCCACTGCGATCCTGTCGCTCCGCAGAATCGAGCCAACTTCCACAGACAAACCCTCGTTCACGCCCGCCATCGTCTTTGCCACAACTGATGCCATCCGCCCGCAGGCTTCAGAAATCATCTCTCAGCTCCGCAAGCGGCACGTCGATGTCTTCATGTGCACAGGGGACAACCCAACCACCGCCTACGCCGTCGCAGACATGGTCGGCATCTCCCGGTCCAATGTGATGGCCAACGTCATGCCAGCCGGCAAAGCCGACTTTGTCCGCAAGGTCCAGGACGGCCTGTACCCCGTCCGAAACGAAGACGAAGCTGAGAGTCAAACGAACCGATCCGGCTCGCGGTCGATCGTCGCCTTCGTCGGCGACGGCGTTAACGACTCGCCCGCTCTCGCAGCCGCGGATGTCAGTATCGCCATGGCGTCCGGCTCTGACGTCGCCATGAACTCCGCAAGCTTCATCCTCCTCAACTCGGAGCTGGATACTATTCTCCAGCTGGTCCTCCTCAGCCGGCGCGTCTTCAACCGCGTCAAGATGAACTTTGGCTGGGCAGTTGTGTATAATCTCTGCCTTGTGCCTGTTGCTGCGGGCGTGTTCTATCCCATCGTCAGTGGGCAGAAGCATATGATGATGGACGGCGAGATGGTCACCGTCAATGACCACTGGAGGCTTAGTCCGGTGTGGGCTGCGTTGGCCATGGCGTTGAGCAGCGTTTCGGTTATCTGCAGTAGTCTTGCTCTCGCGATTGACTGGCAGACGATTAGAAAGGTGTTGGGTCAGTCTAAGTCTTGAAGGAGTTTTCTGTCGGAGAGCTTTCATCATGTCACAGGCTGGCGTTGGTGATTGGAATGTTATCGGAATGGGATTATTGACGGTTACGATTGCGAATGACTTGTACATAGTAATGCCCATCATATGCTTATTGTCTTTATCGACAACGAAGTTGTCATCATTGTATTTAATGACTATGGTTTTATTGCTCCTAATTATACCTACGTTGTCATTACCCCTAATTCGAGACAATTAGATATTAATTTAGAGATATGAGACTCAACCCATCAATAAAACCTCTTGGATATTGCGAATGCTTGCTTTCCCTATAGCAGATGCAACAGTAAAGCTATTCTCCCAGACACCAAGTGAAGCGACCTTAAAACAGCCACTTAGCCCAGGGTTATCCGTCCGTACCCCAAATGTCGGCAATCTTTTTACTGAGTACTTTGCCCATCTTCTTACGGCCAACCAAGGTCTTTGTCCGCTCAAAAACCATATCTTCGCGACCCTTAGCATCCAGTTTCTCGAACGCTTCGATGAACTCTCGCGGAGTGGACCATCGTTTTTGGATTTCAAGGGCCTTCTCCCCTGTCACGCCCCTCGTGCACATGAGCATCTTCAGGAAAACATCGCGGAGAGACAGGATATCAGATTTGGAGGTAAGGGCGGAGAAGGTGGAGAAGGTGACGGAGTATGTTACTGACGGATCAGGAGCTCGAAGTCGCTCAAGTGCTGTGAGATAGGATTGAGCGGAATACAATTGTCGGCTTGGGATCAGGCTGAGGGTATGTGTTGGTGGCGAAAAGCAGTACATCTTCTGTAGGAGAAATGTCATCCGAGCCAGGTAGCGAATCGTATCATCGAGATTCCGCGTCTGTTTGACGAAGTAGCCGTTGACGACCTGCGTCGAGGCGATGGCGGATGCCATCATTTCCTGATATTTCATGGCGCTGGCACTGCCGACATCGTGGGTAATGGAGAACTCTTCGATTAGGTAGATGACGTTTTTGATGCCGGAGCGACGGAGACGGAATTTCTGTTCGTGGAATCGCCCGTCTTTGATAGAACCGAGGAGATCGTCCATCCTCTTTCGCTCCACAATCCAATCCAGCATCACCTCGTTGCATTCCTCGCCGTAATGTGAAAGGAACGTAGGGTCGTTGCATCTGGCAACCCACATTGCATCTCCCAGTTCCAGAGCACGTACTTCGGGGGTGATGCCCTTTTTGCTTAGCTCATTGGCAATGTAGTCGCGGTCTTTGGATGATCGGACCTCGCGCGTGTCCAGTACCAGCTGGACTGTGAAACTATTGGCAGGAAGTGCGATGGGTTCAATTCTGATCTCATCAATAGGATCTTTTCCTCCATCGTTGTCTAGTATTTGAACACCTTCGTCATTCTCATCGTCTCGTAGAAATTCCGGAACAACAATATTGTTGTCGTTACCACTAGGCCTCGAGCCAGCACTGGCGCTTGTATTGCTTTGAACATAAGTACTCGAGACGCCTTGTTCGATCGACATTGTGTCCTGTCAATGTCAGATTTCTGCTTTTCATCCTTTACTGTCGTGTCTTACTGTTTGATGCCTGAAAGTCAACGTATTTGAATCTCCCCCAGGCAATGTCTTCTTGATTCTCCTCGCAACTTCCCAACCTTCCTCAGTTAGCGCATACCTCCGGAGGGGCCGTCCATGGTCGTAAACAAGCTCCTTTTGGAGGAGCGTCTTCATCGAATTCCAAGCGGTGTAGAATTTGGAAGGGTCAGGAGGGACAGTGAAAGAACTGTCGCAATGCGCCTGAGCCTTCTCGATCAACTGAGCTTTCGTCAAGCCTTGAGATGCATTCTCATCCAGTGTTGCTAGACCTAACAGTAGCGCGTAGGGACCGGAGCGCAGAGAAGGCACATATGGCTTTGCTTTCCGTGGTTTCTTCGCTGGCTGATCGTCAACACCCTCGTCGGAAGTTCTTTTGCTCGCTGCTGCCTTGTGAGGATGTTCGGGCATCGGTAGCCCATTTTCGTCACAGTACGCCTTCAGTTTCTCCGTCAAGCGCTCACATAGCTTCGGCCCCAGTCCGTTCAGCTGTTGTGCCTCGGATGGATGCTGGAAGACAAGCGGACAAGCCTTCATCGACTCATAGGCTTTCTTGTATCTGGTAACGTATGAGCTTGGCTGATAGAAGGAGATTATGAAATAAGTATACTGACACTGTGACGCCTTTGCTGTTGCGTTCGTGAGCCTGATCTAACCATTCTTTAATCCACCCTAGAAGCAGGGGATTCGCACAGGTCTCACTCATGCTTTCTTCCATCTACAGGTGATTCTTCCATTGAATGTTCATAATGAACTCAGAGGAATCAGCAATGTGCTGCTTTTATGGAATTCTGTGAAATGAGTCTGATAACGCGTTTTTGCTGGGATTTCATGTGTACAGCTAGATGCAATACCGGTGAATACTTTCTGGTACCCTCATATGAAACACGCTAAGCCACTTTTGTAAAGCCTTCTGAAAGGCCTTATTACATCTTCATGTATTACATGGTACTGGCCATTCTATGATGCATAATATTTTACATAACCTGTATCCCCTACATATTCATCAGGCTATATGGATGGTTCCCCCAATGAACCTACCAAGGTCCCCTCCCAGAAGATCACATCAATCATCCTCATAAGGCAAAAAGATGGCCCCCAATCTAGCTCCATCAACTCTGGAGTTTATCTATAATATAATTTTAAGTAATGAACTTACTCACTCCTAGATTACTAAAGCCACTGGCTGCTATCCAAGTACTATCACTAGGCATGTCACTAACATGAACCTCTTTAGAGATATAAAGGCACCCCTAAATAAGGGCAGGCACCCACAAAGACTCACACTAGTTATACTTAAAGCTCTCTGTAATCACCTACTTAAGAAGCCCTATCTATACCTTAATAAAATAGTAATTTTTCTATGGGACAAGTTCCAGGTGCATATAACTACATGCAGCATTAGTCATGCTCTTAAGTATAAAGGTTAGTCTAAAAAAGCCACTAAATATAAAGAGAGTAAAATGTAGATCTGTATAATATATACTTCTATTTTATATCAGACTTTTGCTCATACCACCTTGTGTATATGGATGAATCTAGGTATAACAGGAGGGTAGGATTCAGAAGAACTAGCTAGTCTCCTCTTAGTATTGCCCTGACTCAGGTAGCCAAATTTCATCATAATCAGCAGTATTAAATCCATTATCCTCCCAGCCTACGCGCAAGATGGGGTCATCCTATCCTATATTTTCTAAGGCTCCACAAATACATCTATCTTTAAAGATTTTATAGAGGAGCTGCTTCATCATTATAGGAGATAGCTAGAGCTAAAATCTATTCTAGTTATAGATAATACCTCCTTTCATCTCTCTGAGAGATTGGAGCAAATGTGCGCAGAAGCTGGAGTAAAGCTGGTATATTTGCCCCTATATTTGCCTGATTTAAATCTAATTAAGGAGCTCTTCTCCAAACTGAAAGCCTTTATAAGGTGACATTAGCAAGTCTACAAAGATAACCCTGACCAGGGCTTTGATTCTTTCCTTGAATGGTGCATTGAAATCGTGGGTGCGAGGAAACAGAGTGTAAAAGGACATTTCCAGAATGCTGGTCTGACAGTCAAAGAAATGCCATAGGGAATGTATCCCTGCAGACCAGTAAGTTAAGCTGCCGTGCCTGGGGAATTTACATTAACAAAGTTATCACATCATAGTCAAGCCTATGGTGAAACGCGAGGTCCGCCAACGGCATCTTCAAAGTATCAAGATGAGATGGGAAAGCAGACAGCAGAGCAAATCATTAAATTAGCAGACAGTTAATGTATCTAACCAGCCACCTAGTCGAAGTTTCACTATGTGTCCCAAATTCGTTGAGCCATCTTCTCTCACACTCACTTCCTCTATATCACGAAGGATACTCTCTATATATTCTGCTGCGCCACCGAGATGTATAATACGCGCAATGGCACGGTGGACGGCAAGTAATCGAGGAGATGGTGGGTCGATCGTACGGTTTGGGCTTAGGGTCAGTGTCCGAATGACGGGGAATAATGGATCACGTAAGAAGGAACGTTGCTCCGTTGAATCAATCTTATATTGATATGGGTTGCCTGTGGGCTCGAAATATATCTTGAATGCGCCGAATAATTGATGATAGTCATATGTTAATGTCAGAGCGTTCATGGGGCTATCGGTCTTCGGATACTCGATTAAATGGGTGATTCCGTGATCAAACATATTTAGAATTCGGAGGGCGTTTTTTTTTGAATCACTCTATGGAGCCACGTTAACAGAATAAATATAAGATTGCAGATCCCACATACCAGGTCCGTTTCACCAGAAGAAACTGCGGTGAGAGAATGGGGTAATATATGGGCGACTTCTAAGAATTGAAATCGGTCGTTTGATTCATCTCGAAGAAGCTTTCCATCGTCATCCTTACAATCTTCCCTGTCTTGTTCGAAACGCTTTTCGGCTTCACGTCGATCGAATTTTCGAGAAATAACACAGCGATGATGATCACGTACGAGACAACTTTGCCTCAAAGTAGATATACGCTGTCTTGAACTAACTGCTGTGGACGTGTCAAATGAAGATAGGGACGCTGGCGTAGGTTGTGGTGTTTTGACCGACGAAGCCCTGACTATATAGCACGCATTAGTTAGTACTTTTAAAAGTGGCAACGTAAATTTGTATAGAAAGGATGTAGTACGTGGAAGTAGGAAGTTTTCAATGATATACTCAGCAAAGCCTTCGATCGCAGCCTTTAAGTCCCTCAATTTATCCGAACCCCAGGAGACGAAATCGTCAAAGTAGCGGACGTAAAGGGTAATATCAAAAGTATTACTGGATTCCTTGCATAATTTCTCATACAAAAATGAGAAAAAAAGCATCAGAAATGCATCTTTGGATGAGACATGATCGAAGGTTGTCTGGACAAGCGCAACAGGCTTATAACCCCGTTGTGGAGTCTGTTCAGGATGGTAGTG